AATAATACTTATTATCATATTATAATGCTTGGCTGACTGATGTTAAGAGTGTACGTTGAGATATTTAAAAACTGTGCCATTTTACAAACATTTTCATGTACAGTCGTGGTCAGAATTTTTGGCACCCTTGGTAAATATGATCAAAAAGGGCTGTGAAAATAAATCTGCATTGTTAATTCTATTGATCTTTTATTTTTAAAAATGTACAAAAACTTTCATTAAAGAATAAGAATTAATATGCTGGAGTTTGTTTTTGGATGAGAGCATTTTCTTTTCTTGATTTTTTTTCTTGAAACCCTCCCAAACAACCTCTGGTGATGTAGGTGCTGTTTGACTTAAGATCAATAGGATTAACAATGCAGATTTATTTTCACAGCCTTTTTTGATCATATTTACCACGGGTACCAACAATTCTGACCACGACTGTATGTATGTATGTATGTATGTATATATATATATATATATATATAAAATCAGTCTGGCAAGTAAACTAAAAAAATTACTAGCCAATGGCGATTCAATTGCCAAGGTGTCCGTAGAGGGTTGCAAGGTGTTGTAAGATCTGCACGAGGGTGGTCCTAACCCAGCGCAGGTTCTGGGGAGGGAAATGTCCTCATTAGTACTCTAGGAGCGCCACCTGTGGCTCAACCTGACAGGGATGCAGGATGCAGAGAAAATTCACTTTCTCGACACCCCCATTTCCTAGGTTGGTCTTTTTGGTGACACTGTCGAAGCTTTTACTCTGCAGTTCTCGACAGTTAAAAAGTAGACAGAGGACATTAAACACATTCTGCCTCAGTGTTGGCTGGGTTCTACCCCTGGAACCCTGAAGCAGCAACCTCCACCTGCTCGTCGCCAGGGATGGCAGTAAAGCCTGAACAATGGCAAACTGCTCACAGGAAGGTGGCACTGCCAGCTCGTCATCAGGCTACTAAGAACCCTTGGAGGGCTTCAAATCGGACCTGAGACGAGCTACCCAGGGAGGAGGGATTTGTTGACCAGCCTAGCTCCACTTCCAACGGAGGGACGGGAGGTGGATGCTGCATCACTTCGGCTGTCTGCTACTTGGCAGACCACCAAACAGTCAACAAAAGAGCAATTTCCTATTTCCCTGGGTCATACACACATACACCGCGTTCATGGCCCTTGTCATCATGGCGACCGGACGCTGAATTTAGGCATCGAAGCCTGTTCAGACACAGACACTCCATTTCCTCATGCTTGGCTGCACCAGGTCTGTTATCAAGCCACAAGGATGAACCTCGGCAAACTCCAGTTCCTTCCTGACTGCACTCACTTCTATCAAGAAGGTGGGGGGATCTGCAAGCCCTTTCTGTCAATGAAATGTGCCTAGAATTCAGTCCGGCAGACTCTAACGCTGTCCTGAGATCCCTGTCTGGATATGTGACCAAGGTTCCCACTATTCCCTTTAGGCACAAGTGGTGATCCTGTAAGCTATCCCTTCTGACAAGGGAGACCCAGACCTGTCTCTGTTGTGCCCAGTGCAAGCTCTGCACTTCTATTTGTAGCACACATAGAGTTTCAGATTGTCTGAACAGCTCTTTGTCTGCTTTGGAGGGCAGTAGAAGGGGAAGGCTTTCTCCAAACAGTGAATCTCCCACTGGATTTTGGATGCAAATCTCACGACTTATCAGTCCAGAGGCTTACCATGCCCCTTGGGAGTGAGGGCACACTCGACCAGGGGTGTTGACCAGTGCTGCTTTGTCAGCTTTGGTAAATGGTGCCCCACTAGCAGACATTTGTAGAGCTGCAGGCTGGACTACTCCTGTATTGGGTTATTGGGCCATATATGAGAAGTGCATTTGTTAGGGTTAGGGTTAGCATGCAGGTCACATGCAGGTCTTATCAGCATCTGCGCCACCATGGGCTCGTAAAACAGTTAAGGCAGTTGTGGCGCTTAGTATAGGGACCCCTAGTGTCTGAACTTTGACACAACGTCAAAGTGACTGACTGAAAGGGAATGTCTTGGTTACGTATGGTAACCCTTGTTCGCTGATGGAAGGAACAGAAACATTGTGTCCTTTATGCCACAACTCTGAACTGCCACTGAGTTGGTTGAGACGCTGAACTATTTATAACTGGATACCCAGGGATTGGCAAGCGATGCAAATTTTGCTCGCCAATTTCATTGGCCTTTTCTCAAAGATGTCAGAGGTGCCTGGGCTCCCAAGTGCGACCCCTATTGTTGGAACCTTGACACAACATATCTTTTTCCTCCATCAGGGAACGTTTTTTGACGCTGAGCCTTATTTTGTCATACATAACATGTAAAAGTCAAAAGAAAACACTGAAAATTCACTATAAGCCCAAACCGATCTCATGAGAAAGCAATATGGTGTAAATGTATATTATCTGATTCATACAAAAACATGATTTTTAGAAAAAAGTAAGCATGAAGGTCCTCCACCCATAAACCTAACCAGCAGAAATTTTAAACTGAGTAGAGCTTGGTGATAAAGGGTGGACCTCAGTGTCTACTCTCAAACTAAAGCACATAATTTTATGATTCATGAGATAAAAATAGCAAAGTTAATTTCAGCAGCATTATCAGGTTTTGACTGAAAGACAAAAAGGCCAGAAATATGAGCCGAAAACATATGCCTAAATTGAAAATAAAAATGGGACTTTACTTGAAAATGTGAGCTGTTATATCACTGAAAAGTTCTCAACTAGCAGAATACAATACAGACAATATCAAAACCAGACAATATCAAATCAGGGCTCTACGCTTACTTTTCTTTTTAGGAGCACTTGTGCTCCTAACTTAAAAAATGTAGGAGCACGTTCAAAATTCACATTTACAAACTCCTTTAAAAATCATTAAAAGCTGTCACTCATCTTAGTTCATCTCGATCTCACATCTATAATCAACGAAGCTCTCTACACTGCGCAATGAAGCTCTCACTTTGCTTATGAAAGGATTCGTGAGATACGTCTGTGATACATTACTCAACGCTGCAAAAACACGTAGAAACATTTGAAGCTCCCCTCAGCGCAATCACAAGTATGATGATGTTCGGGTCAGTCGCATTGGTGCTCCTAAAAACAATTTCATAGTCGCACGCAGTAGTTTTCAGTCGACTGAAATGGTCGCACTGTAGAGCCCTGCAAATACATGTACAGGTGCATCTCAATAAATCAATGATTGTCTTCTGGACAACTGTCAGATCAGCAGTCTTCCCCATTATTGTGTAGCCTAGTGAACCAAACTGAGAGACCATTTTGAAGGCTCAGGAAACCTTTGCAGGTGTTTTGAGTTGATTAGCTGATTGGCATGTCACCATATTCTAATTTGTTGAGATAGTGAATTGGTGGGTTTTTGTTCAATCTGAGCCAAAATCATCACAATTAAAAGAACCAAAGACTTAAACTACTTCAGTCTGTGTGCATTGAATTTATTTAATACACGAGTTTCACAATTTGAGATGAATTACTGAAATAAATGAACTTTTCCACGACATTCTAATTTATTGAGATGCACCTGTAAACAGTATACAAATGCGGCTTTGGGCCACATTTTGGTTTGTAGCTTCTACCAAACATTAGTAAACCATAGTATATTTATTTAGATCAGGTTTTCTCAATTCAAATGAGCCCAAACATAACACGACACATAGATCTATAGACAATTGTCATAAAATGGCATTATATGCTGCTTTGCTAAAGCTGTAGGACAGGGGTGTCAAACTCACTTCCTGGAGGGCCCGGAGCCCTGCAGAGTTTTGTTCCAACCCTGCTCCAACACACATACCATGTAGTTTTCAAATAAGCCTGATGGACTTGATCAGTTGGATCAGGTCTGTTTAATTAGGGTTGAATCTAAACTCTGCAAGGCTCCGGCAGTGTTTTCCAACGTCATTTGAAAATGTTGGGAAGTTCAACCAATCTTACGTATGAATCTTAAGTATGGTGTGTTGGTATAGTGGGTAGGGGTGATAAGTAAAGACCAATCAGGGAATGTTTTACAGTGGGTGCATGCTTAGATTGGATTGATCTGTCAGATTTACAGCTCTTGTATTTACCATTCTCTATAGAATAGGGCACAACTGGACGATCAAAACTCATCCACCAGGATCTTATTACTTATTCTTTATATCAGCCCAACCCTGGTCCTGGAGAACCCCCAACACTGCCAATTTTAGATGTCTCCCTAACCAAACACGCCTGATTAAACTCATCAGCTCATTAGTAAAGACTCCAAGACAAAAAATGTGTGACAGATAAGAGAGACATCAAAAACATGCAGTCAAAACCAGCCATCAATCTGAGTGGGCCAGTACCACCTTGGCCTTTATGTAGCCTTGCCAGTGATACTGAAGGAAATACTCAATATAAATCACATTCTTTTCAGTATAGAGCCGCAGTTGTGTTCCGCAGCTGTCAGTGTGAAAGCTCAACAGGAGTCTGTTGTTGCAGTTACACTGCCGCTACGCTTACACACTGTTACACACACTCCCTTAGCTGAAACTAATCCCACAGCGCTCACGGTCAGGGCATCCCAGGTCAGGTACTCTACAACCTACAACATCAGACGCCTGCTTATTCCTCAAACACCAGTTGCTGTTTTTAATATTGAGAGTAACTAGTATAGTGCCAATATATTTAAAAATAGCTTTTGTTTAAAATAATTAAAATGCAATCACAAGTGAACTTATTTGTCAATCGTTGGGTATTTCCTGACCTGATTTCTTATATGTGAATATAACTGTGGAAAATATTCTCTGGTACTGACCTAAATGTGTTTTAATTTAATGGGCTAAAGGTAAATCAAATAATTTGTTTAACTTCAAGCACAAATAGTTCTTTGAAAATTCCATATTGCCTGGAATTGTTGCATGTGTGGTGTGTTTGAGTCAGTTTGAGCTGCTTACATACTGTCATAAGTGCTAGTCTATAGTAAGTCTTTCGCAGCTTACATTCAACAGTCATCTCTTACACTGAGTTACCTATTACATTAACCATTATTCAGCCTATAATTCTGAAAACAAGCTGGTTTTTGGAGTAGAGCGACTAACACAGAGTCTGACATCACAGACTGTTTCCTCAACAGCTGTTTGAGAAGACAGGCATGTGCTTTTGCGCATGTACGCGTCTGCATGTTTGTCTTGGGGAGGTCTGCTTAAATATTCACAGAGGTGCCTTACGCTCCCAGACTGTAAATGATCAGGCTTACAGCGGGAGTCCTGAACTTTGGTGGTCCGAACATGTCTCTTTAAGTGTGTAAATCTGGATGGCTTAGTTTTCCAGTGCTGTTTTTCATGCCTAGAATGCACTCTGGAACGCCAGCTCTCACACAGCTAACATGGCCGAGAAAAAGCAGAAAGCCTCTTGGCAGGTTGACAGCACAGGGTCAGCAGGTCCAGGCAAAACACAGATGCTGCCACCATCGTCACTGCCGTCTGATGGAAAGAGTGAGAAAAGGGAGAGAGAAATCGAGAAAAAGAAAGAGAGAGCATGTTTGCAGCTTGATACATTTAAAATGAATTTGCTGGTGATATAAAATTATGCAATTATGAAATACGCAGTTTTAATGCGCATTAAGTTTCACAACGAAACTTGCGGCTATATTTTTGCAATCATAAATTTTCTTGAGACTCATGTTTTATACTGCTTCTGTGATTAATTTCAGCAACAAATGCAGCTTTAAAGTTGAAAAATTCAGTTTATTTCTGTGAGTCACAGTTCAAACTGTCCAACAATTCTTTTGCACCATCACTTAAAAATGATTCTGTGTAGCATTTTTCATATATTAAAATGTCTTATTTAAATATATTTAGGTAGGTGTTGCTATTTATTATTACTATACAGTATATTGTTATATTGGTGAAAAAAATGAAAATGTATTTACATTTTTAAGATTTTTTTTCAGGTTAATTTAATAGAAACCAGCATGTAAATATGCTATAAAATCTATTATTTTCAATATATATATGTTAATTTTACATTAAGCATCTAGAATCTAATTGAGTAAAAAGGTTGTTTGATGACAGCGAAATAAAAAAAACTTATTAAGTTAATGGCTTAAAAGTGAAATTAAAAACTTTTAAGCCATTTCAGAGTAAATACACAAATATTAAGAACAGCATATATATGCTGTCCTTTTAAGCTTTCCATTCACCAAAGAATCTGGGAAAATCTATCACGGTTTCCACAAATACATTAAGCAGCACAACTGTTTTCAATATTAATAATAATAAATAATGTTTCTTGAGTATAGCGTACATTAGAATGATTATGAAGGATTATGCAACACTGAAACCGTGAGTAATGGCTGCTGAAAATTCAGCTTTGCATTTGAAAATTTATTAAAATAGAAAACTTATTTTTTTAAATAAATGTTACATTTTAAATTCTAATAATATTTCACAATATTACTGTTTTTACTGTATCAAATAAATGATTGGTGAGCATAAGAGACTTCTTTCAAAAACATAACCACAAACTTTTGAATGTAAATAATGTATATCTATATTGTTTTACTATATCGCTCAGCATAACATGGAACAACATGGAACAGGAACAGGAAGAAGACAGAAGAAGAGATCAGAATGTGAGTGAATGACAACAAATAGCAGATCGAGTGTGTGGTAATATGGTTATAGGTAGAGTGAAGACTGATGTCAGC